TGTGTTTGTAAGAATTATTTGTACAAGAGGAACATGTGAAAGAGGGGAAGGGAATGATATGTATGTGTGTGTACACAAGTTTTTTTTTTCTTTTTTTTTTATCGAAACGATAGAAATTTTATAAATAAAAAAGCATAAATGTGACTTACACCACACTCCAGAGATAGATTAATTTTTTTTACAATGTCAATTAATAAGTTAATTTTTTTACTCTAATAAGTGCAAAAAAAATTATGCGATAAATGATGGGATATACATACAGAGATAATTGAGAAAGTGCTAAATACTTATGTGATAAAGTATCCGACTAGCAGACAAAGATAATTGAGGGCGTGCGAAATAATTATGCAATAAACTATGTGACAGACAAGAGAAGTTAATTGAGTAAGTGCGAAATAAATATGCGATAAACTATGTGATAGAAATGCGAAGATAATTGAGAAAGCAAGAATAATTATGCGCTAAACTATGCGACACACAGACGAAGTTAATTGAGCAACTGCGAAATAAATATGCGACAGGAAGACGTAGGTAAATGACAAAGTGTGAAATAATTATGCAATAAACTATGAGACCAACACGTAAAGTTAATTGAGCAAGTAAGATCTCGTTATTCGATAAACTGTGCGACAGATAGACAAAGTTAATTGAGGAGATGTGTAAATATTATGCGATAAACTATGTGTTAGGGGCGACGCTTCACACGCCAACGGTCATGATGAATCTGACACGTGGCGAGCGGACACTGGAAGGACACAAATCTTGCACAGAGTCTTTCTCATCATAATGAAAACCGTCACGCCCGCTTTTAATGATCTGACACGATGCAACCTTTATTCCTTTAATTAAAGACTTTTTTTTCCTGTCAATTATGGGTTAACCATATAAATGCCCATCTCCACAATATTCGGAAGACTGACATCGGCATTTTTGATCAATGCCCATTCTCAGATCAGCGTGAAAAAGTTTCAACAGCTTTCTATGACCAATCTCTATGTTTCGCTTGGTCATAGTATCCTAGTGGCCTTATGTTATACTCAACATGAGATTATCTAAATTAATCCCTTTAATGGTGACGACTTGAGTCATGGATCTACATCATTAGTGTCCCAAGTTCATGGTATACAACTCCTCCTAAAAGCAAGAAAACACATCGGCACGGAGACAACGAAAAAAAATTGTGGCCACCCCTTATGCCAATTTTACTACGAGCCACAGACACATTAGGCCAAATTATGACATAAGAAAGGCAATAATCTCACATCGACTGTGTTCTCAGATATATAAAGCTTCATTTGTGCCAATCTTAGCAAATCTAATGTGAAAAAGGGATGCCATCTAGAATCAATTTCCAATGTCCAAAATATCAACAATTTGAGCAAGTTGTTGTGACATGTGGCGTCTTGCATTGGGCAAACACTTGAAAGTCTGTCACGTATCACGAGAATAATATATTTTAATACTCTTAACAACTTACAAGTAACCCTACCTAGAGGCGGAAAAAGAGGCAAAAAAAAAAAAAAATCATCCATAAAAGTAAAAAAAAGAAAAAGAAAAAATCAATGCTAATTCAATTGCCCTTAGTAGGCTCTTGTAATAGGACATCCAAAAGCGATCTAATTCAATTGCCCTTGGTGCAAGCATATCACCACAAACAACCGACTGTCTCATGGTCCTAATTTTCTTTTCTATCTATTTTTATATACGATTCTTAATCACTAAATATCATAATACCGCTTCGAAATCTTTTGACAAAACCGACCATCAACAAGAACTACTTCATTGATTTCTACCTCGGCCTCTCCCTTTATAGAAGCTTTTTCCTTCCCCTCTAGCACCTTGCCCAACATATCTTCCTCCTCTGGATTGAAAACCTTGATTGTATTTTATTTGAGGATTTTGTGTAACAATATTTGCATATGGCTGTGACCCTCAGAGTTGACTATTGACCCTTGATTCATTTCATGTCTTGACTCATAGGTGAGAAACAAAGGATGCACTTCAGCAAGTGTGTGTGATTGTATACTTGATGTCACATTCACCACCATAGAGTAATATCCATGGCCCAAACCAGTTAATACATACAATATTTGGTTCTGTTATGAGATTCTTTCACCAACTATAGCCAATATATCACAATAATTCTTTATCTTGTTCAAGAACTTCTTCATGGACATCTCAACCTTTTTCATTATCAAGAGCTTCAACTTATATTGCATTATCATTGTTGAAGATTGATTGACAAATTTGTTCTCAATAGCTTCCCATATCTCCTGAGCAGTGCTTAGACCTACCATCATTACTAGTATCCCATCAATCAAAGACGACATCAACCAGGAAGGTAGAAGATGATCTTGTCTCACCTAATACAGATACTCTGGATTGATTTGAAGCTCATTTGTCTGCTGGTCTTTGATCTACTAGTCTGTCTTCTTACTTTCACCATTGATGTAGATTTGAAACCCATATCCATGTCCACTAATGATTACTTATTGTTTCAATTTGTTTCATCCATCATGGTCATGGTCAAGATCAGCTGACTGTTAGGTTGAATCTAAAGATCATACATCCACTATATTGATTCCTTGTGGTGGTGTGGTGCTAGATGATCTCATGGAATGACTCGTGATGAAAGTAAGGAATAAATGATTCAACAACAAAAATGAAAAAAGTAATTATAGGTAGGATGAACCTGCTCTAATACCATAATAAAAAGAGATCATCACAAAAGCATGAATCTCAAAACCTGAACAACAACGATCCTTATTTGCGAAAGGTGGTGGTTGTTTCTCTGATAATGAAAGTACAGGTTTTACATTCTCACCTAAAATCTATATATAGTCTCTTTTATGATAGATAATGTATAAAAGTGTCCTACTATTCTATCCTAATCTAACGGTTGAAAATGCATCTGAGAAAAACACTTGGACTGGAGCGGGACCACCTGCTGCATGGCCATGCTTCACTTTGTCTTCATGCAAGTATTGAAATTTGTCATTTTCTGCTTTTATTTCCTTGTTGGTATGGTTGATATTGCCAACACTTTTTGTATAAAAGTTGGCTACCATTTCTCCAATCTTTTGGATACAAGTGAAATCCTACCGAATCCAAGATCTTCGAATGATATCAAAGATCTTCTTGGCTTGCACAAATCGATCTCGTTTCCTTGTAATCCTCCTGGTTTGAAATTGCATGCTTTTTTTAGGTCAATTGGTCACAGATCTATAGCACATTACAATCTTCTCTAATTTGAACATGTCAGATCATTCGAGGATCCTAACTCAAACCTACTCGCTTAGATTAGCAACCTTAGACCATTCTCTATGTTTATCTATCCCAACAAAATCCAAAACAAATTTTTGTAATCCGACTTTGCCTAACCTAGTTGGTTATAACAACTTATATATGCTCAATTATTTTCCATGTGAAACTAATTGTTCGCATGTTTTTTAAGTGCCACATCAAAGTAAGTTAGGAAAAATTAGAGATTTCGTCCTCTAACTGCACTCATTTGAGGTTTGGTCATCCATGTTATTTCACCTGATTTTTTTAGGGGGACTTCAACCTAGGTATTTGGCATTCTAAAGACAATATGAGCCACTTGATATAACAGATTTTGTGTTAAATATATGACTTCACACACACGCACACATAAATATATATTATTCAATTTATACTACTTTTAATTATGAAACTAATACATAATTTATTCATTAAATATGTATTGATTACGAAATAAAAATCAATAAACTAAATAAATAAATAAATGATATTATATTATTTAATTACCTTGTTTAATTAAAATTTTATTATCATGAATGTTGTTTTTTCATTAATTTATCTTATGAACTTTTAATTAATTATTTATATATTAAATAAATATTTACTAAATAAATAATTATATTAAATAATATAATATATATATTAAATAAATAAATATATGAAATAAAATAATATTATTTATTTATTCATTATATTAATAAATAATTATATTATATAATGCAATATTATTTATTTATTTAAATAATAGAGAGTAAAATAAATACTAAATACAGTAAATAATAGATAATATAATAAACTATATTTAAATAAAGCATATAATTAAAAAGTAATATAAAATTTTATTTACTAATTTTGTTTATTTTTATTTCATAATGAATATATATTTTAAATAATATAATACAATAAATATAATTAAGTATAAAATATAGTTAAAAAATAAATAATATTATTTATTTATTTAGTTTATAGATTTTTATTTTGTAATTAATACATATTTAATAAATTTTGTAATTAAATAGTGAAATTAAGATAAATAAATACTAAATAAAATATTTTTTAATTTAACGTTTACTATCATTTATGTCGTTTTTTGAAATTACCTTATTTAATTTTAAGTATATTTAATATATTTATTTATTGTATTTATTTATTTAGTAAATAATTATATATTATTCAATAGAATTATTAATTATATTTATGTATTATATTACTTAATGTATTTATTTATTTAGTAAGTATTTATTTAATATATAAATAAAATTTAATTAAGTGTATTAAATATTTATTTAAATATTTAATTAAATAAAATTATNCATGCGATTAATAAAACACACATAATTACATCAGGATAACAACTAGAAATAGCCAAACAGCCACCTAGCTGAATCCAGTGAGAGGTCAGCCCAAAGGGCAACCTTTACACCACGATACAACGCACTCACCAGAATAAAAAGATCCCAACAGGGATAATGAACACCGGTCCACGGTCCATAAGGGATAATGAACACCGGTCCCAAAAGAGTTAATGAACACCGGTCCCATAAGGGATAATGAACACAGATCTCATCAGGGATAATTGACACAGCTCCCAACAGGGATAATCGACACGCAAAAATCACAAAACAAACAACACAAACACAACAAACCCACAACACTGAAACTAACAAAAACACACAAGAACAAACAAAACAAAAATAAACAAGAACAGACAAGTCCTCCTAATAGCCGACAACCACCCCAACACAACACCACACACAGGACGAAAGCCGAAACGACACATCCAAGATAGCCCAAATCTCGGGACGCAACCTAGCAACTCTCTTCAACCGAAGATGACGGGCTAACATAGATCCACCCCAAACGAGCATAGGACCAACTCGGAGCCGCACCCGGGAGACCCACACCAACCCCATCCCCACACTTCCCCGGCTAGAGCTCCCGAAAATGGCCGAAAGCCTCTAGCTGGTCGGAAGCCCCATCTCAAACCCCTGGAGACGTGGTAAAATTGGGGGCGAAGCCGACGTAGGCCTCAATCCTGCCCATCAAAGGCCCGATAGAAAGGACATGCCGCCCCGCCCTCACCGTCGAAGAGTTGCCCTGAATCACCGCCACAACCGCCGAATCTATGGCGAGGATTGAGGCCTGAATCAATACAAGATATGTAACACCACTATTTCCTCAAATCATTGTGTGTTGTGCTCTCGTATATAGTACCATATCCACAGTAGAAAACAACTACATAATGAACTCTATCAAATTTTAAAAATTGTCATTTCGAAGGTGAAAAGACAAGAATATACGTGATTAGACATTAGTGTCATTTCCTCATTAGAGATAAGCACACAAAGACGTGGTGATAATATTGGTACCCTATCTAAAATGATATTCCCACAATTGTGAAAAACTAGTAACCACCCACTCAAACTCCATTAGGCCAATCAAGTAATCAACCTTCAATATCAATTTTCTAAAGTGTGTGTGTTTGGTCTGAAATTGTCAGTCGGCTTGATGCGATTTAATTTTTATTTCACGAGACTCACTATGGTAGCACGTCCGGTCACTTATGAGTCCGGACCTTTAGGGCGTGTTTGTATATTCACTTATGAGTTTTTTTTACATTAACCAAAATTAATTTTGAAAGAAGTAGTATGATTAGTTGTTAGTGGCATTTTTATTTTTTTATCAAACTAATAGTTAAATAAAATAATAAAATTGATTTGATGTAAAAGTTGGAGAAAAATGCGGTGAAGTGATGATTAGTTAAAATTATGTGAATAGATGAACAGTAAATTAAAGTTAATGTATGTGTACGAATAATTGGGTGATATTATTTTATTATATTGATAATATTGAGGATAGTGAAGTTTGGTTAAAATTGAATTAAATTTTGAGTATGAATTGAGTATTTTTATATACAAACACACCCTTAACATTAACTTGTTTAATTGTAAGTCTTTATGTAAATAAATTAAATGTTAACTCGGTTTTATTGGAGTTCTTTATAAATTAATAAATTATATTTTATTCGACATCATATTTGATTGGAAGTCATTTAAATCAAATTTTAAAAGACTTGCAACATAATTTCTTATACACGAGTGTTGGCACCAAGTGGTGATAATAATAGCCAATTTGTACGAGTCAATTTTCAAATCCATCTCTAATAGAAATCACTAGACCATGCNTTTCATAGAGCAAACCAATTCTTCTACCAAGTAAGAAATCGAAGTAAAATAATTTTACCCAAATCAGAAAATCATCACGGGAAAAAAACCCCAATTCTCTCGACGCCGAAAAAACCTATCTCTCAGCCCTCGATTTTCAGGCAAATCTTCCTTCCTCGGCGACAGTAATGTGCGGCTAGGGCTCGTCCTCAACTGTCCGCGGCCCCCCTGGCAAAGAGCGCCACTTTTTCTACTTCGGATGGTCCATTGACGGGGAGGCGGGTTCATGGTCAAAGATGGAGAGTTGGACGGCGGTGGTGCTAACCGAGGTCGAAGCTAGGTCGGAGATTGATTCCTACTCTTCAGTCCCCGGAGGAGCTGCGATTTGCTTCGGTAAGCCCCCGTTTATTCGCCCTTTGTCTGCGAGTGTCGAACTCGGTTTTCGCCGGCGGCGCTTCACCTTTTGAGGTGGGGCCGAGCCGTTTGTCTTTGGTTATCTGTGGTGGAGATGTGCTGCTGGGTGGGGCGGGACCTGGGCTGCCGCGTCGCTCCTTGTCGCGACGGTCGAGGGGAGGGCTGCTCTCTTCTTGCTCAAATCCCCGTCAACTAGTGGTGTTAAGCGATGGGGGAGGTTCTATCGGCCTCGTCTAGTGGTGTTAGAAGAGTTCGGTTGGAATCGGAGTGGGATGGATGCTGGCCCTCTTGATTGTCGATCGGTTGATTCGGGGACTGGTTCGGGATTCGGGTTCCGCTACTGTATAGGCTTAATTGCAGTTTCGGTAGCTGGTGCTTGGTCTGGATTGGTCTTGTGTCAATTGTGCACTTCTAGTTCGGGCTTACTCGTTCGCTGCGGAAGGGCTATTAGATTATTTAGTTTAGTGTTTTTGTGTTCTTGTTATCTATATATGTGTTTTGGTTTGGATTAGTCTGTTTTGTGTCTGTATTGGTTTTGCTCTGGTCTTGTATTTTAGGTTTGGGTCACTTGGCCCCTGTGCGAGGGATTACTCCGTTGGAGTCGTCCCACATTACCTCGTTGGGGGTCGTTCCGCAGTTAGGTTGTTGTGTTGTGTTATTGGGAGTGTGTTATTGTGAGTTTCTTTTCTAACGTTGCTAGTCGTCTCTAGGTGGTCTTTTAGACCTGTCCTCCCAGTTTTATTCAGCTGTTGGTTGTATTTTTCAGTCATGGGCTGTGTACTTTGCACATTTGTGCGTTTCTGTTATATAATATTTTCTATCGTTTCGAGAAATCGAAAACTTTCCTCGATAGATTTCATTCATTTGAAAAAATAAATTGGGTGAAAAGAATTCAAGAGGTGTCTCGAAATGAATTATTATGAATTTTTTCTTGTGAAAGTTGTACGGCCAATCGCTCTCTTCCACCACAACGAAAATTAGCTACGTTTCTTATTTTTTTCTATATTTCCTTCATCTAGTAATTGTGTTTGTGTTTCTTCAAATTGAAAGATTCATATCAAAATCTTACTCCTTGATGACTTTTTTTCGGTGTACGTACTCCGATCTCTTGCTGTACGCAGTTTTTTTGTCTTTTTTATTTTATTCTTCACAATTTTTGGTTATTTTTACTGATATGATATTTTTACTGATATTTTACTTGAAACAATAACTAAAATCCCACAAAAAAAATTCAATTTACTTTATTAGTAACTCTTTAGACGTTTTTGAAAAGTAGCGACAAATCATTTGAAATTTAAATTAAAAAATCAATATAATTAAGGTACATAATCATTTTAGTCAAATATTATGATTATTATCTTTATTAATTACATGATTTAAATTTAGTATATAATATATTGACAAAAAAACTAATTTCCATCAAAGAAATAAAATAATGCTTCACTTTATAAGAACAACATCCACAAGAGTTGCTAGCTAATCTCATCATTTTGTCTACAATTATCCATAAAATTTTGCGTCAAAATTACTTCCACATCAATTAAAAAGTTTTAACAAAAGCAGCAGTGACGGATCAACCTATATTAATGGGGTAACAGACCCAATAAAATTGTCTCCAACCTATATTAGTTAGGTAGTCCAAAAGAGTAAAATTCCTCTAGGCCCAAAATTATGCCTCCAATCCAAACAAAAAACAATTCAACGTAAAACTAACAACCCAAAATAATAAATTTAACTATGAAAAGAAAACAAAAATATTATATATATTTAGTGGCCTCAGGTCCATTCCATCAATGAATGTATACATATATTAAAATAAAAAAAGAAAAAGAAAAAGATACATCAAACCTGCAAGCGAGGCGACGACACAGTGTTAATTATATGGTGCCCCCATTATGTAATCATCCTGGATCCCCCGTTGCAAAGCCGGTATTTGAGGGGGCGAGATTTTTTTTTTATTATTATTATTCTTTTAATTTCTTTCGCGCTCTACTTGCAAGTTTCATTTTGCGGCATTTCCTTTTTCACCTGGTAAAAACGTGGAATTTGTAAATTCGCTTTTCTAGCATCATCACAATAATAATTGCATGGTTGTGAGATAGAATGAATCGTCATTCTTAATCCGACTATTGTTATGTGAGTGTTTGAATGCTACAGACCAAAACATGGGTTTTCATTAACTATAGATTCACATGAGATGGTACTATTTACATGCATTGTGTCCAAAAGATAAGCTGAACTTGTTTCCTTTCCTTACAGACATATTATTGAAAAGAAAAAGCATAGCATGATTGATTGCAGTATATATTAGGAATTGAGATCCTCATGAGCTTTATATCACAACAAATACCACAGCATGAATATTTACCTGCAAAATCAAAACCAAAACCGATAAACACGAGACCAAAATTTCAAAATAAAGCCAAACAAATACTCCAATTTCTCCACCAAAAAAATCAATACAAATTGAAAAATTAGAGGGGAGAGGAGAATTCCGCGGATTAGGGTTGAAGATTGCGGAGAAGAATGGACAATCTTTTTCTTCAAGCTCTTTCGATCAGACATACCTCAAAATCGGGCGCCGTAAGACTAAGAGATACCCCTTCGGACTCGATTCGGGCAGCTCGAACCCCAAGCTTTCTAGACGGGAGGACGATGACTCAGTCGCGTCGCAGGAGGCGTCGAGTTTGCCATTGGTGGTGGGCTGCAAACCACCAAAGGCGATGTCGCAAGACGCTGCAACATCGAGAACAAATAAAAAAAAAATCGAAACGACGTCGTTTTTTTAACTCCCCAAAAGAAAAAAATAAAAATATAAAAGGCTAAAAACATGCCCCACAAATGGCTAAAAACAGCCATGCGTTGGGCCCAAAACGATGCTAAAAATACTCGCGTTCACATATATATATGAGAGGATGTGCACCAAGTACTACGATTGTTATTGGTAGCATGTATTTTTCGTTACAACCTGATACGATCTTTATATGCCTACTCATATGAATATTTACTGCAAAAAATATATGGTAAAAAAATTAATTATTTTATTATTTTACAGAATTGTTCATTTACATTTATACCATCATGAGTTTATTGCAAAAGCTAAATTTATGTAAGGTGTTGGAAGTAGGATTCAAACCCGAGTTACAAAGAATGAACACGCGCACACAATCACATGGCTACATGGATGGTTGTGTAATGCAAACTATTACAGATAAAGATATTTATAATATCATAAGGAAATGAATAAAGTAAAATTAAACTAAAATTATGATAGGTAAATTTAATACAAAAGAAATAATTAATAATAATAATAACTTGCAATAAATTAAGTTAACATAAAAATAATGGAAAAAAGTAAAATAAAAATTAATATAGTAGCGTGAATTAAAAACTTATATAATTAAAATAAATTAATTATATAAATTTTGAAATGAAAAATAATAATAATTAAATTTTAATATAAATAAATTCAAATTAGCTAATTAAAATAATAATAATTGTAGAATATTGTCTAGTCCGTTAAGTATTAGATTTCTACAAAAGAAATCACTATAATGCTAAACATCCAAGACCATACGTTTTTGGACGTTAATCTCACTTTCGGGATGATCAAAGTGTCCTTCGAAAGAAAACGAGAGAGGGAGAGAGTTGAGAGGTACAAAACCATCTTTTGCTACCACCTCTTAAAATAAGAGCCATCAAACTTCAGCAGTCTCTCGCCTTGGACGGAAGCAGTTACCATCAGGGTGAATGGATTAGTAGTCGGTGTAGCGGTCGGTTGAGCACTTGATGAAGACTTTTGGTTTCCTTCGATTGCCATCTTATGAACTCACGAAATTTCGTCTTAAGATTGTAGTTTGCGTGGTTTGTGAATATCAAAAAGACGGCTTAATGAGAATGAAGAAAAGCAAAACAAAAATCAAAGTCGAGGCACGTAATAATTACGTTCTCCTTAAGACGGAATTGCCCCGTAAAATATACCCACGGTTAACGGGAAACGCCTCCAAGATACAACGACTTTCAACTTGTATATGGCGGTACTTCAAATATACAAGACTTTGGCGAACATTACTATCGTTTGGAACTTTCAAAACTCAAATAAAAAATCAAAGAACACAATATACTTTATGAACTTTGAAAATATAATGCAAGAGCTCGTAGTTTTTCCATAATCTGAATGGTTTCATTTATGTGGGTATTTATAGATGTAGGAAAACACCTCCAACAGGTTTAAGTGTAAAAAGACACCTTTCCGGGCATACCCGAACGAGAAAGGATGCATCTATAGGCCAAAAGACACCTTATAGTCACCAAGGGTTGCTACCTTTCGTTGTCCGCAGCCAGCTGCGCGCCCGTACTCCGCGGGCTCGTACGAGCTCATACGAACTCGGAATCGAGTTCCGTTTTTTCCTACTTGTCCCCAACGAACCCCCGTAGAGTACTAGCATGCAAATTGCATGATCAGGTCTTATTTGGATTGTCCTACCACTTGTCAAAGACAGAATGTTTACGAATCCAACAATTTGAGTTACTTAAACTTATTGCTTCAACCTTACATTTCCCGCATATACAACTTAGAATTAATTTCTCATTCACCTTAAAATGGTTTTGAGAATTTTCTAACTCTTCTACTTACAAAAGATGAAACTTTAAAATCGGTACAAAACCAATTCATCTTACAATAATAATATAAGATAACAAAGTATAAAAATGATAAACTAAAATAAAATAATAACTTGTATGATATAATAAATTAAATTAAATAGAAATCTTAAATTAAGATAATTTATTAAATCATTTTAATATAATTTACTCTTATATACAATAAGAAAAAAAATATGAAATAAAATATTATTTTTTTAGTAAATGATTTTAATTGTAAATAAATAATTTTAATGTCTAAATTTTATTTAGCTAATTTTATTTTAATTTTATTTCATTGTATTAAGTTAAACAAAATAAATAAAGTTTGTTAACTAAGATAAAATAAAATGAATAATACAACAAAATAATATGGAGTAATATAAGTTAAAATAAATAATAAAATATAAAAATATATGAAGATAATCTAAAATAAATACAATAAACATTATTATTCTAACTCTATTTTTTATATTTATTTGTAATTTATTTTAATTATTTGGTATCCGTTTAATATAATAAGTTATTCTAATTATTTTGTTTTTGTTTAACTTTATATAATTTAATTTATTATATTTTACTTTATATAAGCTTATATTTTGATAATTTGATTTAATATAGTTTTTATATTATCTTCTAAATTTAATTTCATTTATCCATATGTAATGTCCATATATAATAAACGTTACTAGATCTAAAACTCAACCTTGAGTGGTGTGGTAGTTGCATTGCTTTTTATGCTCCGATAAGGTCTACGTTCGAACCCTAGGGTGAATAATTCTTTTTATTCAATTTCTCGTGATATATTAAGTATATCGTGATAAATTCAATTTACCGTAAATATATATAATATTCGGAGGGTATAACGGGAGTTTTGGAAAAAAATTTACACCGTTAACGGGAGAATTGAAAAAGGGAGCATGTGTATCGGTTAGGTAAATATAAGGGAATGTCACGCATTTTTCAAAACATAGGGTAATAACGCGCACATTTCGTATAACACAGGAGGGTTTGGTACAATTCTCCCGTCATTTATTTACTACATAACTCGTCACAAACCAACATTATGTATCCGGACACCTTGTTGCTTGACATTCATTACCTTATATTCCAATAACGTTGGAGGTAGCGGATGGTGGTCAGAACATGGTATACGAGGCTAAGGTGTGGGTTAAGTCATGGATGTAATTTAAAGAAGTTCATGAATTTAAGCATGTTTGTGATGCCTGAGAAATTTTCGCTTCTTGCTGATGATCAGAGTAAAGAATCCTAATAAAAGTAGTGCACTTAATCTGGATTCAATAATTGGAGGCTTGTAGGAAAACTATGTGATTTGAGCATTAGATTTCATTTGGATCGTCATGTAATGTCGGTCTCTTTTGGTTATGCATGCATTATAATACACACTACACGATGTTGTTAATTTGGAATGTGATGTTATAAGTTCATATTTGTGGTTGTTACTTCTTAATTTTGTCAAGTGTTATTCGATTTACCCATTACGTTTGACGACAAGATCTGACCAACTGGACTCTAGACATGAAGTGGTAAAAAAATATTGATGATGGAGAAGTAGCAGATATGAAGAAAGCTCTCATATTTTTGCTCCAGATGAATCTCCAACTTGTTTATTTCACATGCCTAATGTCTGTCGGTTTAGTAACAATTGATCATACAACCGGTGGGAGGGGTCAAGAGTGCACACAAAAAAAAAAAATAAAAAAATCTAACAGCGTAATCATGAAAAAGTTGAACAACAATATCTGGTATAATATTGTGTGTAAAGATAAGTGAAATGTAATAATATAAAGAAAAATATGAAACATAAAAAAAATTAAGAATTACTATATGCAGTATAGGAACTGTTTGTAGATATGCAGGAAGGGAAAAAATTCAAAACATAAATCAAATGACCTATCCAAAGCAAAGAAAGAAATAAAACCCCCGACTAGGACTGCAAACGAGCCGAGTCGAGTCGAGTATTGGCCTTATCGAGCAGGATTGATTTGTTTTTTGAGTTGCTCGAGCTCGAGCTCGACTCGAATTCAAATGCTCGAGTTCGGCTCGAATTCGGTTCGAAAATTTTCAAACAATTTTGTCAAATTATATATATAAAAAGGTATTTTAGTAATTTACCATATATCTCGAGCCGCTCGCAAACCGCTCGACAATGTAAAATATGGGCTCGAGCTCGAGCTCGAGTTCGTGCCCGAGCCGCTCGAGCTCGATTCGAGTTCGGTCAAACTCGAGCTCGAGCCGAGCTTTGACTCGAGCGCTCGCGAACTGCTCGACTCGTGTGCAGCCCTACCCCCAACTGAAATAGAATATCTACAACACGAATTGTGGAAAAAAAATGTGATAGAGAAAATGAATTGAGAATATAAAAAAAAGTGTCGTAGGTTTTATTTTGATATTTAAGGGCATATTGGTAATTCATAACTTTTATTCTATGTAGAACACCAAAAGTTAACATAATCCTATCTTGGATAAGTCATTAATAACATAGACATTACATTATCTCAACAGTAGAATTAGTCCCAAGATAAAATTTGTGTAATCCTATCCTTCCTAACAAATGAGCCCTATCTAGATAATTGGAGCGATAAATAATTGCACACCCTCCCTCATACTAGTTTTCTCTTAATAAGAAAATAAACTCACGGGCTGACATAATCTCGTGGCCCCCTTTTTTTATGCGCAAATGAGCATGTAAGTACTGATAAATTTTCTTATGAGCTCTGCAAACGTGGCCTAATATGCTATCGGGGAAAGCAAACTGCATTGGATTATTAAGGATTGATCAATCACACATCAAATACAAGGACAGATACAAACAGTACTTCATCATGTGCGCCATATCTTTTTTGCAGTATTCCAAATTTACTGCCTAAAAATAACTTGAAGGATTGGTACCACACACACGCCAAAGTGTCGAAACATAATCACAAATGGACGATTATTTCCTTAAATAGTACTCTTGTCCTCTTCATTTGTGGACTTGAAAATTTCAACAAATTCTGGAGGCACATTGAGTGAAGCTTGTAAAACGGGTGAGGATAAGGCGGTCCAAGCTGACCTAATCCCAACCAATTCTCCCAATTCAGGCCTGCAACCAAAATAGTCGCAATTTTCTTACCATCATTTATTCATTTTCAATGGACAAAACACAAAATTTTGAATACATTCAGATTTATTTCATAAAACTTTGACATGGTACATATGTGCTAGCATATGTTGCTTTACATATTACATTACCTTTAAAATCAGCAATTCATACATATTTTACACGCAATTTTATTTCTATTCATGTATTATTAAAAAAA